AAAAAACATTTTATACAATTTAAATACATACAGTTACTGTTTATTAGACAAAATGAAACGAAGTGGAAGATTGTCTTTATTTCTGCACAATCTATAAAGCTCCTCCATTACTTTAATTGCTCTTTCAGCACATTGATTACTTCTGGGAATGTTGATTGCTGATGGTTCTGGATTCCAATGACTTGTAAATGTAGCAAGAGGTTTCTTTTTGTTTAATAAAACTTCATGAGGGTCTGAATAAGTGTTTTCTTTATAGGTTTGGTCGTCAAACCAAAAGTCTGCCCACTTGTAAGAAATAAAGGTACATACAGATTCAAGTTTGTTTCTTGTTTTTGGCATAAGAATGTAGGCTAACAATGCTAAAATAGCTCTTGAACTCCACCGAGCATTACTGATATTAGAGATTTTTTGAAATCTTACATTAGGAAATATTTTATTTTGGTCATAGTATCGGTAGGTTCTCGTCAGATGAAACAGAAACTTCATGTCATCTCGCCATCCTCCTGTGTCTTTTATTTCTTCTGTACCATTATAAAAATTTGTCTTCAGTGTTTCATAATGTTCTAACAACTCGTTAGTAAAAAAGTAATTAATGTTTGGTGAGTTCGGATTTTCTCCCAATTTTTCTTCCATTTCTAGTCTAAGTATTCTATCCAAGATATGATGTTGACATGGTACAAATTGAGGTTTTTGTAATCCTTTTTTTTTGAAAAATGTCCTGAAGTTTTACAACAACACCATTTTTCTTTCCGGTATTGACATTTGTAGTATCTGTCACAATCATTTTAATTGAATTCCATAGTTTAAATTCATCTATAATATCAGCTATGGCATTAATAATAGTGATAGATTTTCCATCTATTAACTTCAGTGCGCCCAACTTTATTTCGCTTCTTTCATTGTTAAGAACGACAACCTGATACTCCCATTGGTCTTTATGCTTTCCATCGAAGTGTAGACTCCAATTCTCATTCTTTAAATCTTGAATTAAAGTTTCTTTAAATTGTTTTGCTTCATTAAAAAGAGCCTTGTATATTCCAGACTGTGATGGCGCTGGAACATGTATGTCTTCTGAGGACAGTATTTTACCTATTTTAGAAGCTTTCTTAGTTGATACCTTAGCACAAACCACTAACTTTGTTGCTATTTTACAACTACTATATTTTTTACGTCTTTTCTTCAAATTATTATATTCTTCATCTGTAATTTCATTATCTATCTCAAATTGTTCATCAGTTTCTTCAAATTCGGAATTTCTTCAAATTTCGGAATTCTAGAGTTGTCTCTTTCTATTTTACTACTTTCAGTAAATGAAGAAAAACTTTTAGATGCTGAAGGTTGGCTGGAAAGTTTTTGCACAATTGATGGATGAATAGTCTTCTTTCCTGCCAGCTTTGAAGTAGCATATCCAATTTCTCCATTGCTTTGTAACTGAATTTCATAAAATCTTTTATCTTCAGATGATAACCAAATGCCATTTTGATTTGTTATATCAAAAATCTCTTTTTGCAGAAGGTCGGCATTCCCTTTTTTTCTGAGACTTTCATATTTTTCTATAACATCATTAATCTTTCGCTTCGCTGACTGCTCTGTCAGACATGGGAAATTTAATTGTTCTTTCCACAAACTTATAACTTCTTCTGAAATAAGATCTATCCTTTGCTTTTTGGCTTTCACATCAGTACTAGACAAATACTTTTCACATCAGTACTAGACAAATACTTAAACCTGCTAACAATATCACTTTTTAATGGCATTTTGGAATATTCTTGACAAGATGTTTCTAACATTGGAAACTGTCTACTTTTATGCGAATCTTGAAATTTCACAAGTTTTTTTTTATAAGTCTCTTTATTTTTTTCAACACTCGATTGGCAGTATTTGTATGCCATTTTAATTAAAAGCAGCACAAAAAAATCTGAAACTAATTAATAAACAATTAGGCACGGCAGTGAAAAACTAGAAATTATAAAGTGGTAATGCATTCGTCTGGTATGTATTTAAAGTTATATATATAATATATATTAACCGTCTATATATATATTTTATTATATATAATATAATAATATAATATAATAAAATATATATAGAGGGTTATGACTTCTTTAACTTATGTTTTCTGGCCCATATGTAATATGTATAGTATATTATATTCCTATCTATATTGTATTAAAAAACATTTCAGCCGAGGGGCGTGACATTTTTTTACACTTGAAGGAAAATAAACATTTCTTCATTGTTTTATAGCAAAAACTCATCCAAAAATAATATGGGGTTGTCCAAATTGTATAAAAAGTTAAAAAAGTCATATCCCTAATATATATATATATATATATATATATATATATATATATATATATATATATATATATATATATATATATATATATATATATATATATATATATATATATATATATATATATATATATATATATATATTTATATATATATATATATATATATATATATATATATATATATATATATATATATATATATATATATATATATATATATATATATATATATATATATATATATATATATATATATATATATATATATATATATATATATATATATATAGACTCTTGCAACGTTGTCAGAAAGTTTTTCTATATTTTGTTGACATAAAAAAAAAAATTTAATGCAAGACCGGAAATTTTTTCTTTTATTATTTGATAAAAGACTGCTTGTCAAACCAAACCCTCACCCTAGTTGTAGCAGCACTTCTTTGTAAGTCAGGCTATTTGTCAGTCGATGTAGCAGCAGTCTGTTGTGAGTCAGTTTATATATAAAATACACTAATATAAACATACACACATAGTTCACCTACCTAATAATGGAAATACCCAATTGAAACCAATATTTTGAAGTTTTGTTATCTCAGCTTTAAATTTATTTAAAACAGGATCAAATCCAAAATATTTTAAATCTTCAGAATTGCACAATGCCAACAAATGAACATTAGAAAAACATGAATTTAAATTATTTGGTAAGTTTTTAAAAGTATAATAGAACACTCCTATATTACATAAAGTAGATTGTCCACGTAGTGGATTTGTTGTTCCCATGCCATCATAAAATAACAGAATCATAACAGACTTTTTATTCTTATCAGCAAATAATGAATGGGATTTATATAAATTACCGTCATAAAACTCAGGTAAATCAAAACTTTGTGTATGAACTTTAAAAAGGAGTGAACAAAAATCATTATATAACAACAATGATCGTAAAGTTGCTTCAATAGAAACGTATTGAAAGGAATCATACACCAATCTATCTTTACCATTATGGCACTCAAACCTTTGCCCAAATAAAACAGATTCAGGTTTTACATAAAGTTGATGTTTTTTAAAAAAGGAATCTTGCTGATATCTTGTTTTAATGAATTCTAAAGGAGACCTAGCATTATCTAAAATTGGGATCAATTTATTAAGAAGTATTTGTTTGTTTTTGAAATGTCTTTTATTTCCTGAACAATTAAACATATTTTTTTGGATAAATCTGAAAGAGAACAGTTGGTCATGACATTAAACGAAGAAATAATATCAGGCACAACACAGAATGGTATGCTACTATTAGCTCTGAGTTCTGCAACCATTGCAACAGCAACTGCATAGTTTTCTTTGTTATTTGGTTGTTGATTATATAATTCATCAATATTATTCGTAGTAATATCCAAATTATTTTCATTATCAATAGTTTTATCCAAATCCTTTTCATCACCAATTGTATTATCCAAATTAAAGTTATAATTACTTTCTGTAAAGTTTTCAACACAACAACTTCCATTGCTTTTAAAAGTACCAGTACTTTCTGTAAAGTTTTCGACAAGACAACTTACATTAATTTCAAAAGTATTAAGGTGATATGATTTCAAATGTCTGCATAAATTATATAGTGTTGAAAACGTGCTACTGCATTGCATTTGCATACAACTAAACAGGTGTTTCAATGAACCAGTAACTTCGTGTCCTTTTATATGCTTAATAAATTGACCTACATCGCTTATTACCAATCTACATAAGAAGCAAATATACATGGTGTATGTAATACGTAAGTAGGTAATAATATTATGAACAATGATATTTTATTTTAGAAGTAACAGTTTCGTTTTAACGAAATGCTTAAGAAGGTATAACAAATTCAAGCTCATGAGATTTATGGATGAAATCAGCCATGTGCCATTACTTGACTGCTATAACTTTACCGAAGAAATGGCGGTCAACGCAAATAATGTTGCCAAATTTATCTACAATTTATGTAGACGCGGATAAATCTTCAGTTTTGTATCATTTAATTTTAGTTTTTAAAGCATTTATAAGATTCGCTAAACGCGTCACTAAACAAATTCTACAAAACTGTAGATTTATCCATGTCTACATAATTTGTAGATAAATTTGTCTACATTATTTTTGAGAGTGTACATACATACATACATATATACATGCATACATACATACATACATACATACATACATACATACATGCATACATACATACATACATACATACATACATACATACATACATACATACATACATACATACATACATACATACATACATACATACATACATACATGCATACATACATACATACATACATACATACATGCATACATACATACATACATACATACATACATACATACATACATACATACATACATACATACATACATACATACATACATACATACATACATACATACATACAAACATACATAGTAGTTGTTGTATCTTACAACTTTTATTTTTTTGATTTATTATATACATTTAAACATTTGTTTAATATTTGTAAATATTAAACAATAATTAAATAAAATGTAATTATTAACATTATATTTAGGTATATTTAGATTATTATATGTAATTATTAACATTATATTATTAACATTATATTTAATTATTAACATTATTTATAAAATGTAATTATTAACATTATATTTAATAATTAAATAAAATGTAATTATTAACATTATATTTAGGATATAGCACTGAAGAATGTTAATTGGTTGCAAGGTAGTTATTGCATTTTTTTTTTTTAATTTTGTTTTAAATATATTTATATTATTTCTTTCAAAAGTTTTAACAAACTACTTTTTTAACTTTTGAATTAATGTCTCGCTGTTTTTATTTGAATAATATCAGCTAAATATTAGTAGTGTACTGAATTTCTATAGTTTTCTTTGTATGAATTTTTTGCACATATATGACCAAATATGGTGAATTTTTAGTGAATAAATCACAAAATAAGTTTTTTTGGTTACATTCAAAAAGATGGTAAATCTCAAAAATTCAACTTCAGCATAGATTCTTTTATTCTTCAGCATGTATTCTATTAACAGCTATTCAAAAAAATTAAAGTTAATATCTTTATAAAACTTTTTTGCATGACTCCTAGTTTTAGACAATTTTTGAGACTATTTACTATCTCTGAAGTGCTTAGATATTTATGAAATATCTCTGAAATGCTTAGATATTTATGAAATATCTCTAAAGTGCTTAGAAATTTATAAAATATCTCTGAAGTGTTTAGAAATTTATGAAATATCTCTGAAGTGCTTAGAAATTTATGAAATATCTCTAAAGTGCTTAGAAATTTATGAAATATTTCTGAAGTGATTAGAAATTAAAAATTTATTAAATATCTCTGAAGTGCTTAGAAATTAAAAATTTATGAAATATCTCTGAAGTGCTTTTTTTAATTACTTTGTTATTTGTTATAAATTTTTGGGGTTACAAACTTTTTTTGGGAGGATAAAATCAGTGCAGCATTTGTGTTTACTTCACTCTTAGGCATATGAATACTTGTTACCTAATGATTCATAATAACAGTTGAAACAATACATATCTACATTTAAAACTATATGGTTTGTTTGTAACTTTATAAATATAATTAAAATGAAATCAATAAATTTTCACATCAGAGTATTTTCACAATCAAAAAAATCTACTAACTTATTCCAAAATTAATGCCACCTGTTTTTTAATTATAAAACCTTCTAATTTAATTGTTTTTTAATGACTTTATCGAGTTTAGTTTTTTTTTGTGTGATAATTTTCTATTTTGATATTCACTGTTTTCTTTAATTTATTATTATTTAGTGTACTTCAATTTATTATAACTTTTAATTAAACCACATTTATTATAACTTTTAATTAAAAAGTATTGCAAAAGCTATTTATTTTTGTTTGAAGACTTCGTTGTTTATTGTAAACTAATCATCGGAATAGTGATAAAGAACTCAAATTTAAAATTAATTCTAAAACTTTGTATATAATTTTGTATGGCAAAAAAGTAACAAAACTCTAGTGATAGAATAAGAATATAAGACAATATGTTGTCTCTATTTAAAACCAAAAATTTATAAAACTCAAATCAAAAGTGTAAAAGCTACATTTTTGAATTATCATCATCTTTCAATATTTTCATTATTAAATTACAATTTAAATTTATGATTAGGGAATAATATGGTAACTTTTTGTTTTCATAGTAACTTTAAATTTTAGATAAAGAATATTTCTTAGTAAATTTCATAAATCAGGGAATTTTAATTTGCTTAGTATTTTGAAATTTATATATCACAACTAATGCTTAAATGCTTATTCATTCATATTGTTTAAAATGTATTTAAAATGTATTATTGTTTAAATAATAAAAAACTTTTGTTTTTGTTTATTCATTAGTCTCTTCAAACAATGAATCAAGCCATGAGATAGATTTTCAGTTTGTTCCATGGGTTATGTTAAAAAGAGCTACATTTAGCTATAACAATATACTCCATCTAGATTCTTCTTTAGTATGTAAAAAATTTTTATGTATTATATATATATATTGCATATTTAGCTAAGCATATTGATTTCATATTGAAGTAGGTTTTTCTTTTTTATTTAAAAAAGCCATACAGATTTTTTTTTTTTTTTTTTTAATTATTCACCTCCCCAAGGCGCGAGGGGGCCACTACAGTCGAGGAGGCTATTTTTTTTTTTTTTTTTTTTTTGTGGTACAACCCTCTCTCAACTCTTTAACTCCGAAACACGAACCTTGACAAGCAAGACCGCTGCGCGGAGAAATTAAGTTGAGCGCGGTACTTCCAGGGATGTGGTGGGAATTGAACTCCGAACTTCTCGCTTACAAAGCGAGCGCTCTTACCACTACACCACTACCGCATATAAAGATTCAAGTCAGAAAAAATCAATGATATTTGATAAGTTATAAAATTTGTGGACAATGCGTTTTTTTTTTTAAATAGCATAAATTATTCAACAAAATTTGATCACAAATTTATATAAAAGCAAAATCACATTAGTATTTTTAGGATATCGTTAACAATAAGATTGGCATCTATGAGGCATAGAGTCAACTAAATAAATGCAAACGTCGATGGAAATTGAGTCCTATATTTCTTTGATTTTATTAAATAAATCGGCATGATTTGTAGACCTGATTCCTTTTATTTGGTGGTCAACATTTTCCCATAAATTTTAATTGGATTTAAGTCACTTGATTGGGATGGCCATTTTAAAACAATTTTTTATTATTTTTGAAAAAATCTAAAACCGCTTTGGCTGCATGTTTGGAATCGTTATCCTGTTTGCATTTTATTCTTTGCATAAGGCAACATAATATTCTTACATATATCTTTGTAATTTTCTTGACTTATAATCTAAGTAATTCTATGAGGCAGACTCCATTCCAGCAGAAATACTACAATTCATTCCATAAAAACATCTCATTTGTACATTTATATTGACAGCAGTCATATCAGAATTTTCTTTGCTTAGTACCACAAGCTTTTTATCTTAATAATGCGTTGTTTTGCGTGGCTTTCCTGATTGATTTTTATTCTTTGTAGATCTACTAAGCTCGTATCTTTTTTTAATTTGTCTTACAGCAGACTTACCGACTCGATAAAGCTGTGCTGTTTTACAAAATGAATTTCCATTTTGAACTGATCTCAAGATCAACTTTTTTACTGGAGATGAGATTTCTTAGATCCACAATCTCAATCACTTATAAATCAAGTTTGTAAATTTTTTCCACATAGTATATTTATAAAATATGTTTATAAAATCATATGTATGTTTATAAAATCATATGTATGTTTATAAAATCATATGTATGTTTATAAAATCAACAAATTAGCAACTGTGTGCGGTAAATGTTAAAAGCTTTAGTTTATCTGCAAACTATTGAACTTATCAAAAATTGTTATTTTGTAAAGCAATTTTTAACATTTAATTTAATAATCATTATTTGCTCAAAACATAGTTTTTAACCTGAAAACCTTTTCATTTGTATATAATATGATGGCTCAAGTGGTGTATGCGCTAAAGTATTAGTAAATTTTAATTTTTTTATGCCTATCCGCAAACTTTGGATGCTACTGTATCTTTAAATATATATATATATATATATATATATATATATATATATATATATATATATATATATATATATATATATATATATATATATATAGAATATAATAAAATATATATATACATATGTTTTTAATATATATATTTGTATATGTATATATATATATATATATATATATATATATATTTATATATATATATATATATATATATATATATATATATATATATATATATATATATATATATATATATATATATATATATATATATATATATATATATATATATATATGCAGACCTTGGCGGGAAGTGAGAGCTTTAGCTCTCGCTCTTGCCCTTGTATGTCCCCTTCTATGGTTTATGAGAGCTTTTTACGGCTCTCCCAAAAATATAATTTTTTTTCATAAAAGTATAATTATCATTTTAAATAAAATAAAAAACACAATGTAATTTAGAAAAAATTAATTGCATAATATACTAAAATGCTTTTTAAAAGGCACAACTGTTGCAAAAAAAAGTTAGAATTTAAAAAGAGTGCCAATTTAAATGAGGAGCAGCTCACACAGCTCCCCAAGTTCGTTTTAGGAAGCTTTTTTCCGCTCTCGTACTCATTTATTCCCGCCGAGGCCTGTATATGTATATATATATATATATATATATATATATATATATATATATATATATATATATATATATATATATATATATATATATATATATATTTATATATATATATATTTATATTTATACATATGTTTATAATATATGTATATATATTTTTTTATATAATTTTTAATTACTTAAAAAAAGTTTTTAACTTTTATTTGTTATAGAGATTGTTTCTTTAACTTATAAAGTATGATGTTAAGTTTTTCTTTGTTTCAGAAAATGTTTCCATCAATTACTCATCTTAATTTAAGTCATAATAATATAACAGAAGTAAAGCACCTTGAGGTAATTCATAGTTTTATTAAAAATAACATATGCTGTTAATATATAAATTATATATTGTGTTGCAAGATGACAAGCATTTTTCAAGCTTTGCAAGATGACAAGCATTTTTCAAGCTTTGATCAGCTTTTATGTATTGTTTCTCTTTTGATGGAATTTCCATATATTAACAATAGAATACTATTTATTGGAATACTGTTGTAGTTTCCTTTATTTCCCATTAAAATGCCATTTAGCCAACAACAGTTTTACATTTAAAAAAATAACCTGAAACTGAGACAAACACTGTTGTCACATACCAAAGTACAGTTATAAAATGGAATAAGAATCATAAAGTTATAAGAATTGTTATATAAAAAATATGGGTAATAAATGTACAATACGTTTTGACATTAAAGTTACATTGTAGTCAAAAAAACATTGTAGTCATAAAATGCATTAAGAACAGTTACATACCACAGTAAATGGAATAAGTTAAAAGTTACATTGAATAAGTAAAGTTATATACCTCAGCAAATGGAATAAGTACAGTTACATACCACAATATGAACTGAATAAGAAAATTATAAAATTATAAAAATTGTTGTATTAAAAAATAGAGTAACAGAAATTAATCACATTTCATTCATTAAAATAATCTCATGACATTTTAAAGGGATTACACTTGTAAATCACATATAATATAATACATATGTATTATTATATATATTATTTACATATTATAATATTTTATTGGTATTTATACATTATTTATTAATATATAAAAGATTTTATTAATACATACATTTTTAAAAATATTTTCAAAATTTTTAGGATTTACTTTGCCTAACTAGTCTTGATCTGTCATTCAATGTAATTCGTAATGTGGATGAATTTTCCTACAAATTACCATGTATAAGATCATTAAATATTTCTGCTAACCAGCTTAGATGTATTGGAGGTAACAATATTTTTTTAAAAAATCTTCACTCCACTAGTCTATTATTCTATTTCTAGGTCGTTTATGTTGAAAAAATTTCAAAATTTTCTATTAAAAGATGCTCAGGTAGTCCTAAGCATCTTGTAATAGTTTAATGTAAAATAGTTTATACAGGCAATATTATAAAAATTACAAATTTTTTTGTTCCTAATGAGAAAACCAATATTTAAGGAGGATCAGGGCAACTTTTTCTCTCTTTTATTGCCCCCCTTTATTTATCTAAAAAGAAAATTCTTCTATTAAAAAAAAAACAAACTTCAGAGACGTATTCAAAAATTCAATAAAAAATATCTTGGCGTTCAAAAGATATGACTATTTAAAGTAAAACTACAAAAAATTAAGTTCACTTTACATGAAAATATAGTGTAATATTCAAGATATAATAAAATTGTATATATATATATATATATATATATATATATATATATATATATATATATATATATATATATATATATATATATATATATATATATATATATATATATATATATATATATATATATATTTATATTTATATATATATTTACTCTGAGATGGTATAATATAATCCATAATATTAACTGATGTAATTTAATCTTCAAAACTATATGGTATAAAATACAAGATATGTATAAATTATGTAATCAATAGCAAATAAAGAATCTAAATTCTATGACTTGAATATTCAACTATTGCCTTTCTAAAAAGCTCTCCATGGTTAAATCTGAACTCTGAAGTTGAGAATCTGTATAGTGTTTTCAACATATTATAATTTACATTATAATTACAACATTGGGAGTATTTTCTGAGCAATGTTTCAACAGATTTAGAATATTGCTTTGAAAATACTCCTAATGGCAGTTAAGTTCTATTTAACAACATGAAAAGATGGTGTTCAATTATGACCTTTCCATCCCATAGAAAGATTGTGGTTAAATGTAGTCTTCCCATACTCTTGGTTTTCCTAAATTAATTTTTTTCAAGACGATTTAAGACGATTATAGATTTTAATATACACAAAAATTAAAATTTTATTTTTAAATGTATGAGTTATTTATATAAATAACTTTATTTTACAAATAGTTTGTAAAATAAAGTGAAATTATAATTTACCTGTAGAAAAAGGCTTTAACAGTTCAACAACTGGATGGTAAAAGAAAAAATATCTAAGATACATTTTTCCAAATCTGGCAAAACTTTCCGAATTTTGTTAGCATTTTTGCCATCCAATCAACCTCCATCATACCCAAGTAATTCCATGTTTTTTAACCAGAGAACAACAACAAAAATAATTCCAAGTTTTTAACCAGCAACATCAGGTTCCTTACACATTTGAAATCTCTGTTATAATCTCCATCAGTAAATGAGTTCTTGAGGAGTAATTGCATTAATTACATACATCTCTCCAATCTCAACCAGGAGCAATTAATGTATAACGTTCTTGTAGAGTTGCATAAAACATTTTTTAAATCCACTTTTAGCAAAGTTTTTATACATATTTTTCAGCATATTAAAGATTCTCAGTTCTCCATGATTTGTTTTATCGCCATCACAAAATAAACATGAATATTTTCCCTCATGTCCAGACAAACCCAAAACTATATTAAGTAATTTAAGATCTGCTGCAAAGTAGAACTTTAAATCTTTTAGCTTTGTTTTTTCTATATGTATTTGAAGATTTGTGTGGCTTTTGCTAACATTTTTGGCAATAGTCAATATTATAATTTTGTTAATGCCAGTATTCTTGGGTTCTTTGGAGTCATAATTTACTTCTCTATTAAAAACATTAATAATAACTTTTAAAGAATCTTGGCCACTATCTACTCCTACACGAATAATAATATTATAAATTTCTAGTCCCGAAGCTGTGCAAACATGATTTTTGGATAAAAGTTCCACTTTTTCCACTGAGTAATAGTTATCTAAAGCATGTGACATTATCTTAATTTCTTTGGAAGAATTTGATTCCACACATAATCTACCTAAATCTTTTCTTAAATCCATCTCTATTGAATCAATAATACAGTCTGACATATCATGCTTTCTTTTGATATTATAGAAAGTCTGGGTAGAGTTTTAAGGGTTGGTTTTTTTTCCAATCTGCAGACTTGAAAGAGTTACTTCTGTCGATAATGTAACAGTGTTGCTTATTTCAATATTTTTAACTGTTGAATTTCTTTCAAAGATTTGCTAAGTACTTGCTCAATTGTTTTTAAACCTGAAAATTTGTAAAAATGTTTTAGGATTGCATAAAAATTTAGGTTTAGAAAAAGTTATAATTAAGCCCTTACCTGTCAACATTATTGTAGTGTTCTGTACAATGTCTTTCTTACTACAGGGATGTCGAATTCCAGATCCAATTCTCTGATAACAAGTACAACAAATTTTGTCTATAGTCTCCTTTGGTACTTCAGGTTAATTAATGTACATGTTTAATACATCATAATTAAAATAAACTGTACTTATTTAGAATATACTTATTTAAACTACAATAAAAATTATAATTTTAATGATGTTTTAAACATAAATAATTGATCTCCATATGAGGTTTTTATAAATTACCTGAAGGTTTATAGATGTGGATTTATCTCTTGACATGATACAGAGCGATCACATGTTAACAATGTATCACCTATATATATATATATATATATATATATATATATATATATATATATATATATATATATATATATATATATATATATATATATATATATATATACATATATATATATATATATTTATATATATATATGTATATTTATATATATATATGTAGGATTCCCAGTTACCAGTTCAATACATTTTAAGTTCATATCACCACAGCAAACACAAATAAGTTTTCTTGAAGAGAAATAATCCCTTGGTTTGTTTGGCATGTTAACTATGTTAATTATGCTAGTTTAGCATGTAACTATAATAATTATGCTAATATGAAAGCAAATAGTTATATATTTAGTTAAAAATATGTATGTAAATACATATTAAATTTAGTAACACTTTGACTAGTTTTACTTTATATGGTCATATCTTTTGAATGTCAAGATATTTTTTATTGATATTTTGAATATGTACCTGAAGTTTGGGTTTTTTTTATAAGCTATAAATTTTTTTAAACAAATAAAGGGATCAATGAGAGGGGGAAAAAGTTGCCCTGATTCTTTTTAAATATTGGTTTTTTCATCGGGCGTACACCAAATAATTTGTTCTTTTCAAAACACTGTCTGTACAATAGTCCTAAACAGCTTGTAATAAAATTTTTTATAAGTAATCAAATTTTCAACCTAAATGACTTGACTTGTGTATGTATATTTATATTGATACACTTTTTATGTTTATTTATATTGATACATGTTTTATGTTTATTTATATTGATACACTTTTTTTTTATATTGGTTCACTTATTTTTTTTTTTTTTTGGGTACACTTTTAAAAAAGTGAAAATAGAAAAAACAAAAAAAGTGTGTTTTTTTTGGGTACACTTTTAAAAAAGCAGTTAAAAGGATGGGAAAAATAATACTTTTAAACAATTTCAGAAGATATAAATTTTGTGTTTATATCTTCTAAAATAATTAGGTGACCTTATTTTTTTTTTTTATTAAAATCTAGGATGACAATAAGAACTAAGGTACTTAGTACTATGTACGAGTTTAAGCTCAAATTTTTTTTTTTTTAATTATCTTCGCTTCCAACAAGGTTGCAAGCAACCACTTATTAGTGTTGGAAGTTACTGGATGAAAAAAGATGAAGATTGTAGAGCAAGATAACGATTGACAGACAACTTAAAATATTGCAAATTATATGAATCAGGAAAGCTAGATAAAGGAAGCAAATTCCAAAGAACTGATGTTCGAGGAAAAAAACTAGACAAATAAGAGTTTTTGGAGCACTTAGGAACAGGAACAGAAAAAGGATGAGACTTAATTGAATGACAAGTAACACGAGAATGAATTTTAGTAGATGGCACAAGAGACGCTAGCTCTTTAGAGCAGTGCTCATTATAGTATTTGTAGAAAAGAGAAAGAGAAGCAACATTACGACGATGTGACAGAGGTTGAAGGTTGGCTGCAAGAGCAGGTCCAACTATGTTTACAATGCGTTTTTGCACCTTGTCTAAAAGAGAAAGGGCATCATTAGAAGATCCACACCAGATATGGCAACAGTATTCCATACAAGGCCGGATTTGAGATTTATAGAGATAGAGAATTGAATCCAGAGTAAGAAAGTGACGAGCTCGATAAAGAGAAGCAACTTTAGCAGATGCTAATTTTGCAACGGATTTGATATAAGGTTTCCAAGAAAGATCAGAAGTTAAGAGTTAATCCTAGAAGATGAAGGGTAGGAGACTCATCGAGTACATTACCATTCATAAATATAGGAAGGTCTAAATTATTGCGATAACGATTGGCTGAAAAAAAATTGAGTTTTATCTGAATTAAAGTTCACCAGCCACTGCGAGCCCCATGCTGTAGCAGAAGTGAGATCCTTTTCAAGCTCAGATGCCCCCCGCAAACAATCAGAGGGAGTTGGCTTCTTATCGTGACAAGAATAAATGGTAGTATCATCAGCGAACAATGCCACCTTAGATGTGAGAATATCTGGAAGATCGTTAATGTAAATTAAAAAGAGTATAGGGCCAAGGATTGAACCTTGGGGAACCCCTGAGTTACAGAATAAGAAGAAGAGTGCTGTCCATCAAGGACAACTTTTATACTACGATTGGAAAGGAAGGATTCAATAATCTTAAAGATGTTTCCAGATACACCATAAGAAGAAAGCTTACGGAGGAGATCAGCATGCCAAACTTTATCAAACGCTTTAGAAATGTCAAGAGCAATGGCCTTAACCTCTCCACCTTTATCTAATGCGCGATAAAACCTATCGGTTATTACTGATAGCAAATCAGCCGTAGAACGAGAAGATCGAAATCCATACTCATGATCAGAAAGTAGGTTATGAGATTCGAGATGAGAGAT